GTACGAGATCGAGCGCGTTCTCACTCATCGGCGCCGCGGCGGCAAGGCCCTCGAGTTCCTGATACGCTGGAAGGGATACGACCCCACTGAGGACAGTTGGGTTGCAGAAGCTCATATGGGCAACGCACGCCGTGCTCTCAAGGACTATCTTGTCAAGCAGAGTGTTTCTCACGCCACCCAGCTTTGAGGGGGGGACGTGTGAGAGTACGACGGCTTATGCTGGCTTTGCTAGCTTGCCTAAACATTATTATGCTATATCTAGCTTGGGATTTATTTATCATGCATAGATATGCTTGATTTCCTAGGTTAGGTGCATTCCTATATTTTATTATAGTTATAGCACCGAACCAGGTTACGTGTACCGAACTCAAGCCTATTCGGTTTCCACCGAATTGCTTTCTACTGAGTTCGGGAAGGTTCTGTTCGGGACGCTTCGCGACCCTCAGAACATTCGCGTAACACCTGGGTAACTGGCCTTGTGTCGAGACTATATATCGCCTCGTGTTGTACCCAGGTGGATCATTCAATTACAATTCTCTTTTCTGAGCTCGATCCTAGATCCTCACACCCTCCCTCTCCTGCCCCTCCCCTCCTGGCCGACCTGCGCGGGCTGGCCTCAAAGTCAGCCTCCGGCGATGAGGGGAGCCGTGGGACGTCGCCTTCGGCGCCGACCAAGAGCATCGCCGGTGGCCGACGTGACGAGCGGCAAGTCGACGCGGGAGTGAAGCCGATGTTGATGGGGGAGGAGCAAGTCGAGGAGAAGCAGCCGACAGGGGAGCAGGTAGCAGTGAAGCCGACCACGGAGCAGTCGGCAACCGGGCAGTCAGCAGGGGAGCCGACCACAGGGGAGAAGTCGGCCAGGAAGTTGACTGAGCTGCAGCAGGAAGATGAGGGGGAGGAGGACGCCAAGGAGTCCACCAAGAGTGACGTAGTGGAGGTTCCGCCTAAACCCCGGAAGTAAGGCCGACTTCGGAGGCCACCCAACTTCTTCGTCCCTGCTGCCTTCACCACGGTGTACGACGTGGACGACGACGACCTGGCGTATGACGACGCCGAGGAGGATGAGGAGTTTCCAGAGCTCGACCCTGACATGCATGCCGACCCCGAGCACCGTTGGGACATCTCGACGATGACGGTGAAGGAGGCGTTGGCAAGCTGGAAGGGCCCGGCGGTGAAGGCCGCCATGGAGGAGGAGATCCGCAGCCTCATCAACGTGGGTACTTGGGAGCTGTTCGAACGCCCATCGGGAGTGAACATCATGAAGAACCGGTGGGTGTTGACGACGAAGTACCACGTTGACGACATTGTCGAGCGTGAGAAGGTGAGGGTGGTCGTGAAGGGCTTCACCCAGGTGTATGGCGCCGACTACGACGAGACGTTCGCGCCGGTGGGCAGCTACGTCACTCTGAGGATCTTCCTCAGCATCGTCGCCATCCTCCACCTCAACCTAATGCAGCTCGACATGAAGACCGCCTTCCTGCAGAGCAAGCTCGACCGAGTGCTGTACATGTCCCAGCCGGACTACTTCAACGACAGAACCGGCCGGATGTGCAAGCTGCTGAAGAGCCTGTACGGGCTGAAGCAGTCGCCGCTGCTGTGGTACTCGGCGCTCAACGACGTGTTGGTCGACGCCGGGTGGAAGAAGAGCCAGGTCGACGAGGCTCTGTACTTCAAGGTCTGCGACGACGGAGTGGCTTGCTGGGTGTTGGTCTACGTCGACGACTTGCTCGCCGCCAGCAGCAGCACCGAGATGCTGAAGGAGCTGAAGGAGCTGCTGGAGTCCGCCTTCGAACTGCGTGAGATCTCGCCGGTGCAGAAGTACCTCGGGCTGGAGATCGTCCGGGACAGGTCGGCGGGGAAGCTGTGGCTGCATTTGCAGGGCTACGCCGACAAGCTGCATAGGCGCTTCATCGACGAGGAGCAGACCGGGCGCACCTCGAAGACGCCGGTCTCGATCGACGCCTACGCCGAGCTCACCTTTGACGACGAGGAGGCACAGGAGAGACAGGAGGAGGAGTACCGGCAGAAGGTCGGCTCGCTGCAGTTCGCGGCGACGACGACGAGGCCGGACATCGCCTTTTCCTGCAGCAAGCTGGGGAGCGGCCTCACGGTGAGGAGCGACCAGCACTGGCATGAGGTCGACCGCTGCCTCGCCTACCTCGCCAACCCGCGTGACACCGCCCTCGAGTTCGGCGGTGGACTTGAGTCGCTGGAGCTGATCGGATACGTGGACGCCGACGATGCCGGTGACAAGCAGAACAGGACGATCACGGGCGGCTACGTGTTCTTCTACGGAGGGGCCGCAGTCTCCTGGTCGAGCCAGCGCATCAAGTGCGCGACGTTGTCGTCGACCGAGTCGGAGTATGTGGTGGCCACCGAAGCCGGCAAGGAGGGACGTCGACTTCGCTTCCTCCTTGTAGAGTTTCGGCAGCTGGATGCCGGGAAGCCGACCGTCCTTCGAGTGGACAACAAGTCGGCCATCACAGTCGCCGAGGGCATGGACGGGCAACCTCAAGCAAATGGAGCGGCGGCAGGCCTGGCTGCAGCATATGGTGAAGCGTGGGAAGTTTTCACTGAAGTACATCCCGACCGCTAACCAGCCGGCCGACTTCCTGACGAAGGCGCTGCACTATCCGGCCTTCAACCGGTGCTCCGTTGCCATCGGTCAGGTGCGTTGGTCGACGTGGGCGACGGGGACAACGACGTGCAGCAGTAGGTGCTATGCCCTCCTGCATGGCTGGTGCGGTGACCGGCGTGCTGTGTATTGGGTGCACGCCGACGAGCTATTCTCCGAGCAGTGATGCCGTGTGGGCTGGGGGCCCAAGCGTGAACGCGGCAGGGGAGTGTCAACGGGAGTTGTTGTTGGCCCTGTCCTCGCTTGGGGGGAGCCGACTTCGTGGTTGGGTGTACGGGAGGTACAGCCGACTTGCAGCAGTGGGCAACGCCGACTTGGGCAAGCTGGTCGACGGGGTTGGTCGACTTGCACGGGGCCACTGCAATGCCGCCGACTTGGGAAGCCGGCGGCCGACTTCAACTGGTGGTCCGCGATGTGGCACGTTGACCTGGAAGTCGGCGCCGACTTGCAAGGTCACCGACTTGCAAGGTCACCGACTTGCAAGGTCACCGACTTGCAAGGTCACCGATTTGCAAGGTCACCGACTTGCAAGGTTGCCGACTTGCAAGGTCACCGACTTGCAAGGTCACCGACTTGCAAGGTCACCGAATTGCAAGGTCACCGACTTTCAAGGTCACCAACTTGCAAGGTCACCGACTTTCAAGGTCACCGACTTGCAAGGTCGCGGACTTGGTGACGCCGACTTCTGGTAGCCGACTTGGGTGGTCGGCTGACGACTGTGCTGGTCAACGTGGAGCTGGTCGACTAGTAGTGACGTCGACCTGGAGCTGGTCGACCAGGGGTGTGGTCGACCTGGTGAGGTCGAGCAGAGGTGGCCGTCGACTTGGGAGGTCGACGGGCACATACAGAAGCACCTGGTCGACGTGGTTGCACGGTCGACCAGGTTACCTGGGTGACGAGGTTCTGCGGAAGAGTGCGAGGGTCGCCCAGGCGATGTTGGCGAGACTGACCTCGGTGGTGGTATCCCGAGGTCGACGTGGCGGATCAGGTGGAGTCGTCAGCATGAGGATGACTTGGTGTGCGCGTTGTGCAGGTGACGAGGCTCAGCACGCCAATCATCTGCGAGCACCTGCGAAGCTGGTGCGCTACTGTTCTGCGGGAGCAACGCTGGCACGCCGTCGACCTGCAGCGTTGGCACACCGTCGACTTTGCACTGCTGGAACGCGGTCGACGAAGTCGTGCTGGAACGCGGTCGACCATGCTGCGCTGGCAGTCGACCGACCTGAATGCTAGCTCTGATGTAGTCTTCTCTTGCCAACCTGATTGTACCATTGTTGTCAACTTTCTCTAGTGAAACTCTTGCCAACTTGCCCCGTGAACTAGCCAGCAGTGTGTGCACTAGGAAAACGACTAAGGACCAACAAACACAGAGATCACACGAGCACCCGTGCCTAGCCCGTAGTCTAGCTCCCGTTGTAGTAGTTATCTCCGCAGTGGTGGTGGTGGTGGTGGTGGTGGGAGCTTGGTGCGCAGCAGGAGTGTGATTCTGGTGTAGAATCTGCCCTTCAAGGTGGAGGCTGGCGAGCTGGTGGGGCTGTTCCAGCGGTTCGGACCGGTGGCAAGGTTTGTGCTGCCGCCCATCAACACTGTTGCATTGGTAAGTGGGGGAGTGAGGGGGGGAGGGCAGTGAGAGAGGGATGTGAGGCGAGGTGGGGTGGGGTGGGGTGGGGTCGGTTGGGGGGGGGAGGAGGGGTGTCGACTTGGTGGGCTTTTTTTGGTTGCACGCCGTGTGGTGTGGTGTGGTGTAGATAGGCATAGTCGCAGCACAGATGGGGAGGTTAAGCACCTGGTTTCTTATTCCCTCCCACCTTCCATGACTTTTTGAGGTGTGTCCATCAAGTCTTGTATCCCCAGCCCAGCATCCATGCTTGCATCCTCTCAGACTCCTACCACCAACCCCCACTTCCCCGAACCCCTGTTTTTTCTACCCTCACTCACTCCCATGGTCAGGTAGAATAGATGCCCATTTCTGAGGTGACTTTTGAGTTGACCCAAAAGTCGCCCCTTTCGAGTCGACTCAAAAGTCGCCCCTTTCGAGTCGACTCAAAAGTCGCCCCTTTCGAGTCGACTCCAAAGTCGCCCTTTTCGAGTCAACTCAAAAGTCGCCCCTTTTGATTCGACTCAAAAGTCGCCCCTTTTGAGTCGACTCAAATCTCGCCCCCTTTGAGTCGACTCAAAAGTCGCCCCCTTTGAGTCGACTCAAAAGTCGCCCCCTTTGAGTCGACACAAAAGTCGCCCCTTTTGAGTCGACTCAAAAGTCGCCCCCTTTGAGTCGACACAAAAGTTGCCCCTTTTGAGTCGACTCAAAAGTCGCCCCTTTTGAGTCGACTCAATGGTCAGGTAGAACAGATGGCCATTTCTGCAGATGTCATCGGAGCCCTCGAACCCCTATTTCTTCCACCCTCTTATTTCGAACCCTCTCGTTTCGTCTCACCCTGTCCCTTCCTTCCACGCCCACATCTCTTCGCCCCTCTCCCCTTTCACCCATCCCCCCAATATACCCCCTCCTCTCTCCCTCACTCCCATGGTACAGGTCGAGATGGCTGATTCTGCTGATGCCAAGAGGGCCTTCAAAGGCCACGTTTCCTTCCCTTCACCCACCCCCCAATACCTCCTCTCCCCCCCAACCCCCCTTTCCCCCCACTTCGTTCCCGTGGTCAGGTGGAGATGGCAGATTCTGCTGATGCCAAGAGGGCCTTCAAAGGCCTAGCCTATAAAAGATACCAGTGAGTGTTTTGCACATTGTATGATTCGTTTGTCCTTTTAAGTAATGATTTCAAATGAGTGTACATGAGTGCTTATAACAACTTAACCTAGTGATCTGTTCAACCTGTCCAGCTTACGCATAGGCGTAAACGCTAGCTTACGCACGTTTTCTATGAGTCAGCTGGATGTGTGCTCCTGGGACACCTTCACCTTTTGTATCGTTCTCAACCACTTTCAACCTCGGCTTTTTTTTTTGGGGTACCGTTCGAACCCACCCCCCCCCCCCCCCCCCCCCCCCCAATTTTTTTGTCAACCAATGAGGCATGTGCCACTGTACCTCGAATGGGCACCAGAAGGAATCTTCCTAGAACCCGCAGCACCATCAGACACACCAGCGCAGGCAACCACAACAGCAGCTGCAGCAGCATCTAGGGAGGCGGGCGGGGGGGCAGGAGAGGGGGGAGCAAGGGAAGGGAAGGAGAGAGGCGGAGTGAAGAGTATCAAGAGGCAGGGAGCGGTGGGGTTGCTGCCTGTGGTGGTGGATGGGAAGGCGGCCAGGCGCATGGCTGCTGAGGCGGAGATGGTGGGGGGAGTGGCTGGGGGGAGAGATGGGGAGAGAGAGGGGACCGAGGGGCATGCAGCGGAAGGGGAGGAGGACGGGCAGGTGAGCCTAGGAAGTGGGGGGAAACGGGCTGGTGAGGCTGCGAGAGGGGAGATTGAGGGAACAAATAATAGGCATGGGGTTGGATTTGGGTGGAGGATGTGGTGGTGGGAGCGTGGTGGGTGGCGGGGGGCTGAATTGTGTTGAACAGTGTGTGTGTGTTGAGAACCTGAGCTTCACCGCCCTCCCTCTCCCCTCCTAATGACTTCCTGTATCCCCTTCCCCCCCGCCCCCTTTTTCTGCTTCTGGTGCTTTCTGGTCTTCCCTTCCCCATTCCCGCTCCTTTTTTCCGCTTCCATTGCTTTCCCGTCTTCCCTTCCCCATTCCCGCCCCTTTTTTTCGCTTCCATTGCTTTCCCGTCTTCCCTTCCCCATTCCCGCCCCTTTTTTCCGCTTCTAATGCTTTCTCGTCTTCCCTTCCCCCCTCCCGCCCCCTTTTTCTGCGTCTAAGCTTTCCTGTCTCCCATTCCATCCTCCCCCTCCTTTGCCTTCTCCCCTCTTGCGGCATCCCAGCCCTCAAGCCACAGTGACTCTATCAAGAACCTGAGCTTCACTTCCCCCCCTTTCCATGGCTCCTATCCGTACCACTCTCTTGACTGCCCTCTTGTTCCCCGCTTCCTGCTCTCCCTTGTTTCCCTTCTCTACCCACCATCCCAGCCCACAAGTCACAGTGTCTTCGTCAAGAACCTGAGCTTCACTTTCACCCCCTTTCCTCTTCCGTTGCCTTCCTCTCTCCCCTCTCCCTCCCTCCCCACTCGCATTTTCCCCTCGTTCGCCCCCTTTGGCCACCACCATGCCAGCCCACGAGCCACAGCGTGTTTGTGAAGAACTTGAGCTTCACAGCCCTTCCTTTCTTTTCCCACTGCCTTCTTGTCCCCCCTCCTTACACTTGCCCTTCCTTTGGCCACACCATTCCAGCCCACGAGCCATAGTGTGTTTGTCAAGAATCTGAGATTTGCCACAATGGAGGAGCAGCTGAAGGAGCACCCGGAGAAGCTCTCCCCTTTTTCCCCCTCTCCCTGCATGCCAGCCCACAAGCCACAGTGTGTTGTGAAGAATCTGAGCTTCGCCACAACAGAGACGCAGCTGAAGGAGCACCTGGAGAAGCTTCTCAGAAGCAAGCACGCAGGGGGCAAGGAGGGTCCATCCATACGCAGCGTCATGGTGAGAAGTGGATTTGTTGCGAGGAAGGAGGGGGGGAGAGAGGGGGGGAGAGAGAGGGGGACATAGGGGGGGAGAGGGGAGAGGTGGGGGTCTTGTGCTCATACATCAATGACGACAGCAGCTGACGATTCCTTGTGCGAGGTCATGTGCTTTTTACCTGCGTTGCGTGTTTCACTGCCATGCACATAGCCTTTAGCGCTCATTCTGCTTGTGCCCGAACCTCCTTGAGTGCAGAACGGCAAGCTTTTGAGAAGAATCAAAATATATTTTTAATATATATATGTATATATATTTGTCATATATAAAAACCTCCCTTGTTTGTGAGCCAAATGTGGCAAACAAAGCAGTCGCCTCAACAGTCATGCAACTCTGCTCCTCCCTCACCCGCCTGGTTGTGAACTCACTGCAGATAAGAAAGCGGGTTTGAAATGGCAAGCAGCTATCGATGGGGTTCGGATTTGTGGAGTTTGGCTCTGTGCTCGCTGCTCACCGCACATGCAAGCTGCTGCAGGTGAGTTGTGTGGTCCACGTGCTGTTGTGCTTCCCTTCCATACATGAACACAGCACATGCATCCATCTGTTCCATGCTATATGCATGCATGTGTGTGGAGTTTGGTTTTGCTCCGTGCTCGCTGCACACCGAGCGTGCAAGCTGCTGCAGGTGAGTTGTGCGTCGTGGTCTCATGTACTAATGCATTCTTCCACGCACATCCAGCACACATCCCATGCATGGTTGTTTGGATTCGTGGGTGTGTTACAGTTCACATGCCATTTCGCATGCGTGCATGAGCATCCGTCACATATCGGGGAAGGGGAATGGGGGGCAAGAACAACTACAGGCAACCTGCTGCCTATCCCTGCACCATTCTGAACACATGGCTTCTAATATTTTCCCCCCTCTTACCCCAACTTCCTTCACCTCTTTCCAGGGCACGGTATTGGATGGGCATGCGTTGCTGCTGCAGCTGAGCAAAGGGGAGATAAAGGGGGGCGAGGGTAAAGGGGAGGCAGCATGGGAAGGAGAGCTCAACCAAAGTGATCGTGCAGAATGTGGTGAGTTGAGTTGACACTAAGGAGTGGGCGGAATACGCTGGCTGTTTCTTCTGCGCTTCTGAAGGGGCAGAGGAGGAGAGGGTGCAAAGGAGACACTACAATGCTTCTACTGGAAACAAGAAGAGAGGGAATGGACAAATTCAGCAGGGTTAAAAAGAGGAGAGCTAATAAAGGTTATGGTGTGGAATGTGGTGAGTTGGGGGGTTTGGAGTGCTGTGCAACGGGGTCAAAGAGGCAAGAAAAAAACGAGTGTGCGCTTTCCATCCCTTACCCATTACTGAATTGCCTGCTATTGTTTCTTCATTCGTTTTTTCCGTTGCCACATCCCAGCTATTCAAGGCCACAAAGCGGGACACTCAGCAGCACCACATTTCTCCATCTCTTTCACTTCCATCTTACTCTCCCCCCGCCCATCTATCCCTGCTCTCAATCTCCCTTTCTCCTCCAGCCATTTGAGGCTACTAAGAGGGACATACAGCAGTTGTTTGCACCTTTTGGACAGGTGAGCTTTGTGAGCTGGTGAAATCATTACTGTGCAGGTAATACAGATTACAGCAACAGGTGAAGTATCCTGGCAGTTGATTACTCGCACATGTAACTTTCTCACATGACTACTCTCACATCAAACTTGGGTCCACAGGGGGCTTTGCCTCTAGAGGGAGGTCCCTTTTTGGATTGCTTCTTGACAACTGTCCTTCAAGCTACCCCCTCCCTTCCTTCCCCACCCAACCCTCAGCTAAAGAGCATGCGGCTACCATGCAAGTTCGACGGGGGCCACAGGGGGTTTGTGTTTGTGGAGTTTGCAACGAAGAGGGAAGCAGAGAGTGCCTTTGATGCGTTCAAGAGCACCCACCTATACGGCCGCCACCTTGTGCTTGAAAGGGCCAATGAGGTTGAGGGGCTCGACGAGCTACGTGGCAAAACTGCCGCCCAGTTTCTGGACAGGGGGCGGGCGGCGTGCGGCAGAAGAAGCGCGCCAAGCTGGGGCAGGGCGTGGATGACAGTGACGTGGCGTTCCGGGAAATGCAGTTTGGGTGAAGTGAATGTTTTCTGACACTCGTTTTGTGTAGTGATTGTCAGTGAAATTATTAGATTCACTATTATCATCCCAAAAAGGAGTGTATAGCTATTGCAGGTTTGACGTTGCACCTATGTGTCACTGCTGCCAATACGGTGTAAGACAAGATATTACAGCTGTCAGTTTGTCTGATATGGGCAGCACATCATTCCCCAGCTCACCCAATCCCACACGTTCAATCCTCCCCCTTCTCTGCTTGACTGCTTCGACCGCCATCAACTGTCATTGGTTGAACATGTGACAATATTTGTTTTTGTGTACGTCGGCCGCCCCCATTCCCGAATCCCGACTCCATGGTCCTGTTCGATAGCAGGGTGACCCCAACTGTAAATTTCTCCCACGGTGGGAGAAAATGGGCGGGAAAGGGTCTACGACTCCATGCGACTGTTGCGACCCCCGTGCGATCAGGTTGATTTCCCGCTCGCGTGAACGGAAACCCTGCGATCACTTGAGTTTCCCACCTCGCGCTAAAACAAGGCGGGAAGTCGAACAGTTTTCCACACCCCAAAGAGCACCCTAAAAGTTACTGCTGGCGTAATTATTACAGCGGCATCACAGCTCCTCTCGGGCAAAACGCCCCACCATTGGGACAACATTGCCATTTCTAATTTCAGGAGAAGTGGATACCAATGCCAGAGGAGGGGCTATTTAGGGATGACTTTTACAAAAATAGTTATAATATAGTGTTACACCTAAACCTTCCGACACCACTCACACGTTTTGGTACCGATCTGCATCACAGTATTTGTTTTTTGTCACAAAAATTCTGGGTGCAGTCCCATCCCAAATTCCACAGATCACTCACACCATGGCCTTGTTTGATAGCCAACGGGAACGGGAGGGACTGGCTCGAATTCAGGCTTGGGAGGGGAAAATCGCATGGCGACGTCCATGCGACTGAGACCGAACCACCTTGGGATGCTCGGAGATTTCCGAGCTTGGCTCCTCCTATTTCTCTCCCGTTGCACTGTGCGCTGGCAACCGTTGTACAGTGAACCACAGGCAAAATCCCTCCCCATTCCCGTTCACCTGCTCCATGCAGAATGGGAACAGGTTCCGGGCAAAAATGAAAACATTTGGGGGAATGATAGGGCTAAATTTCTCGGTTGGGATGGGTAAAGTGTTTGGGGCAGCTTACCTGCAAAACTTTGGTAATCCATCTATGCCTAACCGTACCGGTTGACATGGGTACCGGATTAGGACGCGGTAAAAGTAGAGGATCGATCGACTGAGGCGATCGATGTGCAGATTGGTTACCCTATATACCCGTAAGTAACCATGCTACAATGTCAAATATGACAGTTCTTTGTTTATTTCTCCAGAAGGCAACTGATTGTCAAATCGGGACAATCAATCGCGGCAGTGTGGCTGCGCAAATGAGCACGAGCTCTGCGTGCCAGGGACGATCAATCCAATTGCTTGCGATGGCACGAAATATTTTCACGAGAAACTTTTGCCGTTTTGGCACAGAAACTTTTATTCGTCAGGCTGGTTGCCTTGTGGATCGCGACTATCGCAACAGTGCTTTTACGAAATACAAATAATAATGGGCGCCAACATGCGCCAGTGTGATTCCGCGACTGTAACATATATTTAGTTGACCGTTTAATCAGCGATCACGCATTGTTTCGCCGATCGACTCCCCAAAGCGATTGTGCGAATCGATATTTGGATGCGATCCTAAAAAATTCTCACTTTTACCGCGTCCTTAGGTCCACAGTCTCTCGCCACCGTATGAGGGCTTCATCTGGCGTTTCTGTCAAGTTTTGTCTTTTAGCTTTGTCATGTTCGGGATGACCACCTCCTCCCGTTCCTGTTCCCGTTGGCTATCGAACAAGGCCCATGCCATCTTGTCAACTACAAACGGATTTCCCCCCACCCACAGGTATCCATATTGCCAGTCATTTCGTTTCGAGCAAATCCTTTCAATGACACTCCACTTCCAGAAGCCACAAACACTGTGAGCGTTTATCTTGAATATTATGAATAAACGCAGCCAGTTACCGGAGCCCCTCTTCAGCACGTCTTTCCCATTTCCTCTATTCAGCTGATAATTTAGTGGTATTTCCCCCCCCCCCTCCAGGTTATGATATCAAAAGTTTAGACGTGATTCAACATTAGCTGGTTTGTTATCGTAGGTCCCGCGGCTTGTCCCCCGGCGAGCGGCGTGATGAAGCCCACAGCAGCCCTTCTGCTAGGCGCGCTGCTGCTGCTGACGTGCCACACCAACTCACGCGTCGAATGCGTGCCACTCGCAAAGTCGCAGGGTGCGTGCAGTCCCGCGTCATGATCAGCCTCATGATGATCACCGAGTGACCGGATGATGATGATTCATTCAATAGTTATTCGTTGAGCACATACTTCGATGCGCAGCGGCGTGCTGCAAAACTTTGCAGTAGAAACTGCTTCCCGTGGCGTCGTGGCGTCACGCGCCCCCACTCAAGTGAAACGCCGCATTTTGGTTTGTACCATAGACCGCGCGACTCGCGGCAACACCCCTCGAAATGCGTTACCGTGGGGTGACATCCCTTACATTGCCGTCACGCCGTTACTGGTCATGCACGCCGAGCAGCATTGCTACGTCGTTGTCAAGACCCTTTCTGCACCCCCTCCCCCTCTTTTCGCCGGCGGATTGAATCCAAAAGTACGTGAACTCCACGCGTAATGCCTGTGGGCTGTGTTGATGGCATTCCGCTGCACCTACTAGTAAATAACACCCTCATTTTTTACCCAGTGGCTAGCGAGGTGTTATACAACTCTCACATGTCATGGCGTCATTTGGTCACGAAGACGGCTGCAAAAGCACGTCGCTACGTGATATCCAAAAGTAGTAAGACAATTTCTCGGCCCAGCGTCACAATGAGGTGACATCCCTCACGTTTCCCATCAGGCATGTGAAACCCAACCTGCACACGCCGACACCACGTATTTATCACCATAATAAAAAATAAAAAAGACACATCATCGACCCTAATCAATTATCATAGACGCTTGATTCACCATCGCTATTAGATCCACAAGACGTCTACTAGACGAATCCAAAAAGGTAAACGTACTCGTCATTGCGCGAGATACAGTCGAGCTGCATTTGATTAGAGGGAGCATGGAATAGGAGCAGAACATTAGGACACGGGGAGGGGAGGGGAGGGGAGGGGAGGGGAGGGGAGGGGAGGGGGAGGGGAGAGAGGCGCAATGAGGTTGAATATCCGGTGTTTGTCCTCTTTCCTCCAGCGCCCTTCCTGTACACTGGTTGGAAATGGAAGAGCGTGCGATGAGGTGGGAGAGAATAGGGCATATGATGAGAGGAGGGCGCTCGATAAGAAGTGTCGGGGGCATGCAATGATAGATGTGTTTGTACCACCGTTTGAGTCCTTTCTGTTCACTCTCTGCCCTTCCCTCCTCCAATGGCTGCCCTTCTGTCCTATCTTCCAATCCCCCCCCTATTATTCCCTCTTCCTGCCACCAGCACAAGTCCTGCTGGCCTGTCAGAAGGCATGGAGCACAACTTTTGACGGCTGGGTGGTTGGTGGGGACTGTGACAAAGCCACCAGCATAACGTGCGACTCCGAAGGCATGATAACGGAGATGTGAGTGAGTAGACCCTCATGGGCTCTCAAGGACCCTCATGGACCCCCATGAACCCCGATGCTTCTGATGTGAGGGGACCTCCATGGTTCAGATGTGAGGGGACCCCCATGCTTCAGATATGAGGGGACCCCCATACTTCATATGTGAGGGGACCCCCATGCTTCAGATGTGAGGGGACCCCCATGCTTCAGATGTGAGGGGACCCCCATGCTTCAGATGTGAGGGGACCCCCATGCTTCAGAGGCTGTGAGTGAGATGTAAAAGGCCTTGGGAGTGGATCCTCATGGGCCCTCAATCCCGGACTCAATTTTGTTTATTGACTCAGATTTTTCTGAGTCGATTTATAAG